AAGTCTTGGACTCCAGTTAAGCAACCGTTTTCTGTGTTTTCCTTCTGTGTGCTTAGGAGTTAATATAAAATGCATGCTTGTACTTGCTTGAATCAACAATGATGTTATGCTTTCACTTTGGAATTCTACTACTACATATTGACGAGGGTAGAAACACTCACATGGTGCTGCCGAAACGCTGCTCGACCAGATTCCTCACCCTACAAGCGAGCTAAGCATAACTACTCCCTTATATTTTTCTAGGCCCTTGGCTGGGAGGTGACAAGCTGTCACACTCGAAGGGCCTGAAGAGAAGTTAAGTGTTGCTAAGTTTCAGCTTGTAGTGAAGTTCTAAACACTTCCGCATAGGCTATAGCAGTTAACATTTTTTTCTCTAGGAAGCAAAGCCCAAAATTGGTTTTGGCCCACCCTGACTAATCGGGGTTTCAGGCCCGATCTACCATGACTCATAGGGTAAAGTTTTTCATACCCTGCAAAAACAGCCTAAAAAAACATCTACACTGATTATGACAGTGTAAACATGTTTACAACCTGTTTTAAGCTGTTTGTGCCGGGTTAGATTTTCAAGTGTAAATATGTGTCTCAGCTGGTTAGATGTTTGGCTAGGTATTGTAAGATCGCAAGTTCAAATTCCAGCGGCGGTCGCAATGTTTTGCGGCTTCGCAAGGAAAATCCTCGCTACAGAGGATTTGGTATCAGTCTAACGTACAGCGCACCCTGATAATGGCAGGGTAACCGAAATCGTTATCAGTGTAAATCAAAACTTAGCCTTTTTTCTATAGGGTAAAAATTTTTATACCCTATTTTTGCAAGGGTAACTGGGAAAAAGCGGCCGCCCATCAGGGCAAAAATGGTATTTTACTCTGATATTTTGGGCCCTGGCAGGAAGGCAGTTAGCTGAATCAGCCTTTTTTTTTATCGTCCTTTTTTTTCAAAGAGGCTGATGAATCAGCGTCCCTAAAACTGAATGTGAGAGCCTACACCAGAAAGCAATGTAATCTTGCTTTGTATGATAGGTTTGGAAATCCTGTACGAGGTTGCTTTGCAAATAGTCCCACGGGCCACCGCCCCACCGCAACGCGTATACTGTAATCCTCCGACACGTATATCGTAATCCTCTGAATGCCATGTCTAGTCCGATCGCTGTTAGAGGACTGGAGTGAGGCGAGTGGCATTTACGCACGGGGTAAGAGAGCGGGGGAGGATTGAGGCGGGGAGGAGAGTGCATAGAGGTGCGGAGGAAGGGGGATTGAGGTGCAGAACAGGGTGACTTGGGCTGCGAGTCGTGTCAGAAATAACGGGCAAGGATGAATGACTAGAAAGGATGGTCAGGCGGAGGATACAGGAGAGGCAGAGTAAGGCCAGTGGAAGACTAAGAACCTGACGAAGTGCCGAGTCAGGCGGTGGTAGGGACGACTGCGGCTGCGGGTAGAAAAATGGTCGGCGCGGCGCAGTACCCGTACCGTCAGCAGCTCCAGCACCTACAGCACCTCCAGCTCCAGCACCTCCAGTACCTCCAGTACCACCAGCTCCAAAACCTCCAGTACCAGCAGCTCCAGTACCTCCAGCACTAGCACCTCCAGCACCAGCAGCTCCAGCACCTCCAGCACCAGCAGCCCCAGTACCTCCAGCACCAGCAGCTCCAGTACCTCCAGCACCTCCAGCTCTAGCACCTCCAGCTCTAGCACCTCCAGCTCTAGCACGGCTAGCTCCACCACCAGGGTTGCCCCACCGGACACCCCACTCGCGAAGCCGCTCTGGCGAGAGAGTCTCCTACCGACGTGCACCAGTACCGCCAGCACTAGCGTCTCCAGCACTAGGACCTCCAGCACCTCCAACTCCAGTACCACCAGCACCAGCACCTCCAGCTCCAGTAGCCCCAGCACCTCTAGCTCGAGCACGGCAAGCTCCACCACCAGGCTGCCCCACCGGACAGCCCACTCGCGAAGCTGCTAGGGCGAGAGAGTCTCCTGCCGACGTGCACCAGTACCGCCAGCACTAGCGTCTCCAGCACCAGGACCTCCAGCACCTCCAACTCCAGTACCTCCAGCACCAGCACCTCCAGCACCTCCAAATGCAGCACCTCCAGCTCCTCTTGTACCCGTAGGACACTCAGCACCCCCAGAACCAGCACCCCCAGAGTCTGCACCCCTAGTGTCACCACCTCCAGAAGCACCAAAGTCCATAACGACTGGCTGCAGAGGCGGTGAAGACGGCCGAGGCGGAAACCCAGGAGGGGCCGCCAAGCGCGCTGAGCGGCGAGGGGCCACAGTGTCGGCAGCAGTCGGGTCACCCCCCTCAGCTGGGCCAGAGGTGTCAGAGGAGACCTCCAAAGGCTCAACCAAGGGGGGTGGGTCTCCCTGAGACACACCTGAGGGAGCAGGACCCTGTGGGGGGAGTGGGGCTACCGGGGGGGGGTCGGGTACCAGGAAGAGAGGCAGGAGGGGCACGGGGGAACTGCGGTGGGGGTGGAGACAGTAGAAGCAGACAGACTCGTCAAAGGTGACGTCCTGGGAGGAGAGGACACGACGAGAACCCGGGTGGTAAAACTGCCAGGGCGGGGCGTCGGTAGGGAAGCCAAGGAAGACGCAGCGAAGAGTGCGAGGAGAGAGCTTGCCCGCGGGAAGATCGCGGACAAGAGCAAGGGAACCCCAGACCCGAAACACCGACGCATCACCCCAGATCCTTTCCGAGTAGGGGAGGTCTCCGGGTGGGAGACACGGGGCCAGAGGTTGAGCTGCTCAGCGGCGTATCGGACCGCAAACGGCCACAAAAAATGGGGAGCAGCCGCACGGACGATGGAGGTGCGAGCAACCTCCATGACCAAGCCAATGCGACGCTCTGCAATCCCATTGTGCTGCGGAAAGGCCGGAAGCGTGAACGACTGGTGGATGCCCTCAGCACCACAGAAGTCCTCGAGGAGGCGGGAGCAAAACTCACCACCTCGGCCAGAGTGCAGCCGACCAGGAGGTTCTACCAGAACCGAGCGCTGAGCTGGCGACGGACAGCACGGATCCAGCGGATCAGCACACTGCGGACATCCGCCTTGCTCTGCAAGGGGAAGACCGTGGTGTAGCGCGTGTAGTCGTCAACAACCAGCAAAAAGTAGCGCTCTCCGCCCTGTCCAGTAACGCGGGCTGGACCCCACACGTCCATGTGGAGGGTCTGCAGAGGAGCTGTGGTCGGAGGAAACGAGGAGGAGTGAGGAGCAGCGCGCTGCCGCCCCTCGACGCAGGGAAGGCACGGCGGCGGAAGCGACCTCGGGAGCGGGGGCAGGGACCTGGGGAGGCCAGACACAAGGAGACGGGAGTGCATGCCACGCAGGCGTGGCAAGGAGGGGTGACGAAGACGGTGGTGCCAGAGGAGAGTCTGGTGTGTGAGGAGACGACACGAACAAGACGCAACTACCTCAACCGACGCAGCTACCTGACCTGACTCAGCCACCTGTGCAGACTCTGTGGTCAGTGTGTACAGACCAGACCCGGGCCTCCGAGTGAACGTGGCGAGGTGCTCGCCAGTGCGTGAGTCCGTACAGATCTCCACGAGCTCTCCCCCAGGCTGGGTAACAGTGACAAACTGGTCCTGTAGGACAGCTGTAGCCACCTAGTTCCTAGCGAACGAGGGGAGGTGGAAACCTGTGAGGGAACCGGAGGGGGTTGCGGGCCACGGGAGAACAGTGGAGCTACGTGCAACAACTGGGCCACCAGAGCGGTCGGCCAGAGTGACAGGGACAGGGGCTGTGAGCGGTGTGGCTGTGGTGCAGTCGCGGAAGAAGCAGTGAGACGTGCCTCAGTCGAGTAGGAAAGTGTGCAAGGCCTCCTCAGACTCTGCATCTGTGCTAGCTGAGGCACAAGCACCTAGACTAGTAGCCTCTACACCACCAGGTGCCTCTCCACCCCCAGCACTAGTAACCCAGCTCCGCCACCGGGGCTGCCCCACCGGACAGCCCACTCACGAAGCTGCTGCGGCGAGAGTGTCTCCGGCGGACGCTGCTGCCGCTGCTGTCCACCCCCAGAACCTCCGCGTCCACCAACGGCACTACCAGTAGGAGTAGACTCACAGGTACCTCCAGTAGTAGCACCACGGGCTCCGCCACTGGGGCTGCCCGACTGGACAGCCCACTCGCGAAGCTGCTGCGACGAGAGCGTCTCCTGCCAACGAGTACGAGCACCGCGAGCACCAGCACCTCTAGCTCTAGCACGGCTAGCTCCGCCACCAGGGCTGCCCCGCCAGATAGCCCACTCGCGAAGCTGCAGCGGCGAGAGAAACTCCTGCACACTCGGCTGTCGCTGACGTAGGACAGTGGTAGTGGCCATGGCAGGCAGTGGCAGTAGTAGTAGGTGTGGTGGTGCCAGTAGGATGAAAGCGGGCTAAGGGCGCTAGACGGGCTACTGGAGGGGCGCACTCTAGGGACGCGCCACGGGTAGAAAAGCGGGCAGCAGTAGAGGCGCGCCACGGGCAGAAAACGGCCACGTCCTAAGCTGCAGGGCGCACTGGCTGCAGGGTGCGTGAGCTGCAGGACGACGCGCGGGCTGCAGGGCAGGGCGGCGCGCGGGCAGAGTGCAGGGCAGGGCAGAGCACGTGGGGTAGCGCGTGCAGGGCAGCGTGAGGGACGCTGTTCGTGCAGTGCGAAAGATTAACGGTGGGCCCTAACGGAGCGGTCCTACGGAGGGACCTGCTCTGAATACCATGTCAGAAATAACGGGCAAGGATGAATGACTAGAAAGGATGGATGAGTACAAGTAGGGCAAGGTCTAACCCTCAAGTGCTGTACTCAGTAGAGGCTACCCAACTGCAGCCTACAACATAGAAACATAGTTTGACAAGTCGGAGACTGTGAAACCAATAATCTGTATGTAAAAAACTTGTTTTATTGTATGTAACAATGACATCGTCTCGTTTCAAATGGGTTTAGCACAAGCAAAACCAAGCTAGCATGTAATAAATCTAACTGAAAGCCAATGTAGGGGGCATGTCACTCCTTCCCATTTTCGCCCCTCTCATCCCTCGTTCGCCGCCACAGACTTTGCCGAGGCAATTCGGCGCAGAGCAGCAGCTTCTCTTGGCATGGTGGCATCCACAAACGCCGAAAACCTCGACGACCTCTCCTGCAGCAGCGCCGCTGGCGAATCAAGTTCTGCCACCTGTCCATCCTCGAGCAGCATGACCCGGTGGCAGTCCACAATGGTGTGCAGGCGGTGGGCGATGGTGATCACCGTGCACGCTGCAAACGCGCCTCCCCTCACCGCTGCCTGCACCGCCGCGTCTGTTGCCGTGTCCACGTTCGATGTAGCCTCGTCCAACACAAGCACATGCGAGCGCCGCAGCAGTGCGCGTGCCAGGCACAGCAGCTGCCTCTGCCCCACACTCAGGTTGCCTCCACCCTCCGCCACCTCAGCGTCGAGCTGACCTGGCAATGCCCTCACCGCATCCGCCACGCCGGCTTGCGTCAGCGCCTCCCACAACTCCACATCCCCTCGCACCCTTCCACCATTGCCCTTCCCCTCCATATTCCACCCATTCCTTGCTTCCTGCTCCCCTCCTCCGGCCCCTGCAACAGCAGTGTAGGGATCAAGGTTCCACCGGATAGTGCCGGAGAAGACCACCGGGTCCTGTGGCACCAGGGAGAGGCGCGACCGCAAGTCCCACAGCCCAATGCTCGCAGCATCAATGCCGTCGATCACTATCCTCCCTGCACTCAGCTCCACTATTCGATACAGCGCCATGGTTAGCGTTGTCTTTCCGCTGCCCGTGCGACCACACACCCCCACTTTTTCACCTGCTCTGATGGAGAAGGTCAGTCCTTTCAGCACAGGAGCCAGCTCCGGGCGATACCTCACCACCACTCCCTCTGCCTCTATCACTCCTTGTTGCGGCCAGTCCGCAGGCGGGCGGCGAGATTCGACCACATCTGGCGCCTCGGTGGGCAGAGTGGTGTACTCGAGAATGCGCTCCACAGCGTTCATCTGCGACTCCAGCTCAGCATTCATCCTGACCATCCAATTCATGTACCCCGTGATCGACAACGCACTCGTCAGCGCCAGCCCTGCAAACCCAGCAGCCCACGAGCCCGTGCTGCTGCCGCTGCCCCCACCAGCCGCCGCTGCTGCCGCAGCAGCAGCAGCCACGCCACCCACCACGCAGAAGCACGCGGTGGCAAACACACTCGATGCGCCGATCAGCTCCAGACGAAGCCCTAGCCAGCGGTTGGACGCCATGGCTGCGAGGTAGGCCTGGGAGGTGCGGTCGAGGTTGAGGCTGTTGCGCGCGGAGAAGGCGGCCTGGCGGCGGAAGGCGCGGACGGTGGAGAGGCCGGTGAGGGTCTCGCTGAAGTGGGCGAAGATGGGCGAGCGGGCCAGCGAGTCGATGCGCTTGAGCTCGCGCGAGGCCGCGATGTAGACGGTCTGAATGCGGCGGTAGAGGAGTAAGGGGATGAGCGGCAGCAGGAAGGGCGGCGTGACGATGACTATCACCAAAATTGCAAACACAACCTGCCAGGGGGGGGGGGGAGGTTTGGGGGGAATAGAAGGGCAGTGGGGAAAATAGGGGGAATGGGTGGGGAAGTGAGGAGGCACATGAAAGCAGGGGAGATGATGCTCATAGGCATGGTGACATGATGCACTTGGCATTCAGCAGCTGCATTTATGTCATTCCGCAGTTCACCATGAGGAGCCAGCGGGAGCAGACATGAAAAAGGCAGCAGGTAGACCTGGAAGAGGCAGACCTGGAAGAGGCAGGAGAGGTAGGAGAGCAGCGTGTCGGGCAGCTGCAGGTCCATCTGCTCCGTGTCCCGCGTGAAGCGGTTCAGCAGGCGCCCCGACGGCTGTGAGTCGAAGAATGACATGGGCAGGCGCAGCACGCGGGCGAGCAGGCGGGAGTGCAGCGAGCGTGCTGCTGTGAGGCAACCCAGCGCCAGCAGCACCCCACGGAGGGAGGAGAGGAGCCCCGTGGCCAGAGTGGCCAGGCTGTAGACGAGCTGGGTGAGAGGAGAGAGGGGGCAGGGGAGAGCATGGGGGAAGGAAAGAAAATGTGGTTGAAGAAACCTGGTCAAGATGAAAGCAGACATAGGGCAATCAGCCTGGTGAGAGGCAGAGGGACAGAAAGAAGCAGCAGCAGACTCAAATCCTGGAGTAGCAGAGGGAAGGACGCAGAATCTGCGGCGCTTCAAGTCAGTCCAAGCAGGCTTCACAAGAGTGGAGCACTGGGGTTAGGCAGGAGCAGCAGCAGCAGGGCAGGGGGCGTACAAGGAAGAAGGGCGCGGAGGAGGAGCCTTGGGAGGTCTTGGCGGTCCACACAGCGAGCCAGGCGTCACTGGCCACTTTGAGTGACTGCGACACACCAAACACCGCCAGCACCAGCACTGGCATGAGCCACCCCGCCCGCCCGCCCCACGCCCTGAGGTACTCCCAGTACACGCCTGCTGCCACCCCGCCCTCTGCTCGCCCCTCCTCCTCCACCAGCTGCCCCACCGCCCTCTGCTTCTTCCCGCCCCCTGCAGTGCCACCGCTGCTGCCTGCGCTGCCACTACGAGCAGCAGGGGCGGTGGTGCTGGCTGGTGGATGTGTGGATGTGGAGGAGTCAGGCAGCAGTGGGCGTGTGAGGTCGTTGTCACTCTCTGCCACACCACTGCTGCTGCCACTGCTTCCACCAGCTGCCTCCCCTGTGCCGCCGCTGCCTCTGCCGCTGCTGGGGCTATGTGCCGCCTCTCTGCTGCGTGCAATTGGCTCGGGTGCTGTCGCAGTTATGACAGCGGGTGAAGTAGCAGCAGCAAGGCCGTGTTGCCATGTGGCCTTGCGTTGCTCGTGTGGCTCCTGCTGCTTCTCGTCCCACAATGCCAAGTCCACGCCCCTGATGGGCCAACCACATGAGAGCAGGCAAAGAGAATTGAGAGCACGAGGAGAGAATTGAGAGCACGAGGAGAGAATTGAGAGCACGAGGAGAGAATTGAGAGCACGAGGAGAGAATTGAGAGCACGAGGAGAGAATTGAGAGCACGAGGAGAGAATTGAGAGCACGAGGAGAGAATTGAGAGCACGAGGAGAGAATTGAGAGCACGAGGAGAGAATTGAGAGCACGAGGAGAGAATTGAGAGCACGAGGAGAGAATTGAGAGCACGAGGAGCATGGATTTTGATGCAATTTATCTGCCCGCCATTGGGGAAGGCAATTGACAGCACCAAGCGATGTCGAAACGCCTTTGGGTCGGCGTTGGTCTGAGACAGGTGCACGGAGGAGCAGGTGCACGGAGGAGCAGGTGCACGCGAGAGAGGCATGCACAGGACAGGATGCACACACATTGTGCCATACCCCTGCTCCCACTGCTGCTAGCCGCTGCTGCCGATGCTCTGGGTCGAGTGGAGTGCTCACCTGAGAGCTCACCTGAGAGCTCACCTGAGAGCTCACCTGGCCTGCAGCTCGTCAAATGTGCCCATGGCAGCCACACGGCCTGCTCTGATGACAAGAATGACATCAGCATGAGATGCATATTGCAGCTGATGTGTCACCAGCACACGCGTGGTCCCCGCCAGCTCACCACAGATGCACTCCGTGAACAGGTGGCGGCCTGCGAGAGGAAGATGGAGTAGAGCATGCATGGCAGTTGGAGCAAGGGAGGCCTGTGTGCAGTGATTTGTTTGTCCAAGGACAGCACTTACGCTAGTTCAGTGCTTCCCTCATGCGATCCACATGCTCGTTGCCATGCTCTTGTGCGACGAAGCATTCAGTACGACAGCCATGCCACACCATGCTCTGCAGCACGCACCCACCCACACGCCATGCACCCACGCCCACCCAGATGTCATGCCTTACAATGGCAAGCACACGCCCACCCAGATGTCATGCCTTACAATGGCAAGCACACGCCCACCCAGAGGTCATGCCTTACAATGGCAAGCACACTCCCACATGCCAAGGCAAGCACCCGCATGCCATGTCATGGCATGGCATGGCATGGCATGCACCCACGGCCACCCACATGCTCATTGCCATGGCAAGCACGCACCGACATGAGTGTCGACAGCACTGAGTGGGTCGTCCAGCAGCACCACGTCCGCCCGCGCGTACACCGCCCTCGCCAGTGCTACCCGGTGCTTCTGCCCGCCCGACAGGTTGATGCCTGCGCGTGGAAACGGGTGGGATGGCAGTGGGCGGGGTAGCCGAGGAGTGCAAAAGTTTCTCAACTGGTTGGGGAAGGAATGGTTCACATCACATCACAGGATCCGCAGGTGATTGAGCTGAGCTGCTCATGAGCCCAGGCCCCAGATTAACCTGTGGCGCTACAGCCTACCGGAATAGACTGTGGCTGGCAGAGCGGCAGTGGTAAGGGTGGGCATGAAGACGGGCAGGCGGTCACAGGAAGGCGGGCTCGTATGGGCCGGAGCAAGAGATGTGTATCCAAGTGGAACAAGGCGCGTGCTAATGCTATCACATGCATCACCATGGATCCAAACCACATGCGCTCAGCCATGATACCACTACGGTTCTTGGGATGTCCAGTCCGTTGATGGGCACGGAATTCAGACTCCGTTGACTTTCACTTCCAGCTTCGTAGGTACGAGAGCATGCATGCGACGAGCCGCCCCAAGCTGCCTGCGTGCTCGAGGAGAGCCACAGAGGCAACGGCAGATCGCATAGCCGGCTTAACTGGGCTCGTGACAACCCGAGAGCGCTTGACGCGCCTCAACCAGCCTCTCTTGCCATCTTGGCTCGGCACGACAGAACTCGTTACAAGCAATGTGAGGTAACCCACACACGCACCTCGCTCGCCGATCTCAGCCATATCACCACCGGCCAGCATGGCAAGGTCGTGGCGCAAGGCGCACACGTCTATGGCTCGCTGATACCGCCCCTCGTCCACTGCTGCTGCTGCTGCCTCGCCTGCTGCCCCCATGAGGATGTTGTCTCGCACGGTGGCGTTGAGAATCCAGGGGTCCTGCCATGCATGGTGGGGCGTGGCGGATGGCGCATGGGGTTGGCGATTGGTGCATGGGAAGTGGTGGACGGTGGATAGGGGATGGTGGATGGTGGAATGCAGGTGGGGTGGGGAATGGTGGATGGCGGATGGGGGGTGGAGGATGGTGCAAGGGCATAGAGAGAAAAGCACAGGGAGACGATCTGATGAGGAGCAGAGGGTGCACCTGTTGAGTGGAGTCGTGTCAGGCTCCACATCAGCTCTGCGGTGTCAGTCGCTGCCAGAGAGGAGAGGCACAGAGCCTCGGCTCAACAGTAACACATGCATGCTCCTCCTCCATGCCTCGACCGCCCCACACGGGTTGCTCACCAGCGTGACATGCAGAATGTGCGTGTGCCAGCACACGCCCTCACCTGGCTGGTGTAGGCCACGTGGCCTGCCACGGACACGCTGCCCGCCACGCGAGTGATTTCCCCCAGCAGCCCCGCCAGCAGCGATGACTTGCCTGCTCCCACCTGGGCATGCAGAAGGAGGTAGGGAGGATGGGGGGAATAGAGGGAAAGCGGGTGAATGCTTTTAAAAGGTGTCTTATCTCGCCTGAGTGAGGCAAGGCGGGTGGGGGGAGGCAGGGCGGATGGGGGGAGGCAGGGCGGATGGGGGGAGGCAGGGCGGATGGGGGGAGGCAGGGCGGATGGGGGGAGGCAGGGTGGATGGGGGGAGGCAGGGCGGATGGGGGGAGGCAGGGCGGATGGGGTGGGAAATGGGCGAGGGCGATCGAGGGGAGGAGGGAGGGTAGTTTTCAGAAGCCTGCAATCTCGCTTGAGGGATTTTCTTTCCACTCGTACTTGGCTGACAAAGACGGGTTGCCAGCGACCATATGTGAAGGGCAGAGCGGATGAGTGAAGGGGAAAGCATATGCATGCATCACTCCACTCCACTCCCATCATGTTGAATGCATGCTTCTACACTCACCTCCCCCACCACGATCACGAGCTGCCCTGGTGGAATGTCCAGCGTCACATCGCACAGTGCCAACATCCCTTCACCCCCCTCCCCTCCTTCCTTCCCTCCCTCCTTCCTTCCCTCCTTCCCTCCACCCTCCTCCTTCTTCTCACATGCCACTGCGCCATTCGCAACCAAAGCAACAGCACTGCCACTGCATGAATCATTGCTACCACTAGCATCAGCACCACCGGTGCTGTTCACTGCGCCTGCCCCACCTCCCCAGGAGAACGATGCATGGCTAAGCTTTATGCTGCCCTTCTGGCTGCCCGGCTCCTCTTCCAATGTAGCGATCTCGGGCAGCAGCAGAAACTTTTCAACACGGCCCGCAGAGACCTTGGCTTGTACGTAGTCGTTGATTTGATCGGGAATCATGGCGAGGGGGAACCTGCTGGGTGCAATCCAGGTGAAACACACGGGGTGGAGTGGGGGTGGGGATGGGGGTGCGGGGGCAATAGCCGATGGGGATGGCAGCAGTGAGGGCAAGGGTCTCATAAAAAACTGGCTGGTCGATGGCGACGGGAACAAAAGGCAAGCTATCAGACGCAGGCACCATCTGAGCCCGCCGGGCCACCTGAGGCACGGCACAGTGCCGTAGGTAGCAGCTGGGACGGATCACCGGCAGGTAGAAGTGCCACGATCCACCTCACCCCACCCCACCCCAACCCACCCCAGACCCACCAATTTTGCGCAGAGCTGAGTGACGGACCTGAGGAGGTTGAAGAGGGCGAGGGCGGGGAAGGCGACGTCGGCAGTGAGCGGGCGGCCGAGCAGCACGTAGGCGGCGAGGGAGACCACACTGACCACCATGGGCGTGAGGTAGTACACGAATAGCCCCATGGCCTCTGGTGGTGGGGGGGGAGGGGAGGGGGAATAGGGGGTGTAGGGGGGGCAGGGGCACAAGAGGGGCAGGAAGCATGGGGCATAGGGAAGGAGGAGTGAGGGAGGAGCATGGGTGTAAAGTAGTCGAAGCACGGCCTCTTTCATGGCCCAGCCGTGGTGGCGGCGCACAGTGAGAAACAGGCCACAGGGAGCACGGGGGCACAGGGGTATGGGGGCAAGGGGGTGTGAGACCAAGGGTGCATGGAGGCAAGAGAAGCATATGCAAGAGAACAACGTTGCTTCACATAGCGGCGACTGGCAACTACCCCTGTAAGGGGTACGCCGTGAGATCTCAACCACTGAAATGTACATGGAGTCACACGGGATCTGAAACACCAAGTAAGCCCTTGATGGAGCACGCCAGGAACACGCAGCCATGCATCATGCACAGGGGTGCGTTCCTGGTGAACATGTACAGGTGAACATGTACATGCACCAAGTGAGCATCAACATGTACATGCACCAAGTGAGCATCAACATGTACATGCACCAAGTGAGCATCAACATGTACATGCACCAAGTGAGCATCAACATGTACATGCACCAAGTGAGCATCAACATGTACATGCACCAAGTGAGCATCAACATGTACATGCACCAAGTGAGCATCAACATGTACATGCACCAAGTGAGCATCAACATGTACATGCACCAAGTGAGCATCAACATGTACATGCACCAAGTGAGCATCAACATGTACATGCACCAAGTGAGCATCAACATGTACATGCACCAAGTGAGCATCAACATGTACATGCACAAAGTGAGCATCAACATGTACATGCACCAAGTGAGCATCAACATGTACATGCATCAAGTGAGCATCAACATGTACATGCACCAAGTGAGCATCAACATGTACATGCACCAAGTGAGCATCAACATGTACATGCACCAAGTGAGCATCAACATGTACATGCACCAAGTGAGCATCAACATGTACATGCACCAAGTGAGCATCAACATGTACATGCACCAAGTGAGCATCAACATGTACATGCATCAAGTGAGCATCAACATGTACATGCACCAAGTGAGCATCAACATGTACATGCACCAAGTGAGCATCAACATGTACATGCACCAAGTGAGCATCAACATGTACATGCACCAAGTGAGCATCAACATGTACATGCACCAAGTGAGCATCAACATGTACATGCACCAAGTGAGCATCAACATGTCCATGCACCAAGTGAGCATCAACATGTCCACGCACCAAGTGAGCATCAACATGTCCATGCACCAAGTGACCATCAACATGTACATGCACCAAGTGAGCATCAACATGTACATGCACCAAGTGAGCATCAACATGTCCATGCACCAAGTGAGCATCAACATGTCCATGCACCAAGTGAGCATCAACATGTCCATGCACCAAGTGAGCATCAACATGTACATGCACCAAGTGAGCATCAACATGTACATGCACCAAGTGAGCATCAACATGTACATGCACCAAGTGAGCATCAACATGTACATGCACCAAGTGAGCATCAACATGTACATGCACCAAGTGAGCATCAACATGTACATGCACCAAGTGAGCATCAACATGTACATGCACCAAGTGAGCATCAACATGTACATGCACCAAGTGAGCATCAGCATGTACATGCACCAAGTGAGCATCAACATGTACATGCACCAAGTGAGCATCAACATGTACATGCACCAAGTGAGCATCAACATGTACATGCACCAAGTGAGCATCAACATGTACAGGCACCAAGTGAGCATCAACATGTACATGCACCAAGTGAGCATCAACATGTACATGCACCAAGTGAGCATCAACATGTACATGCACCAAGTGAGCATCAACATGTACATGCACCAAGTGAGCATCAACATGTACATGCACCAAGTGAGCATCAACATGTACATGCACCAAGTGAGCATCAACATGTACATGCACCAAGTGAGCATCAACATGTACATGCACCAAGTGAGCATCAACATGTACATGCACCAAGTGAGCATCAACATGTACATGCACCAAGTGAGCATCAACATGTCCATGCACCAAGTGAGCATCAACATGTCCACGCACCAAGTGAGCATCAACATGTCCATGCACCAAGTGAGCATCAACATGTACATGCACCAAGTGAGCATCAACATGTACATGCACCAAGTGAGCATCAACATGTCCATGCACCAAGTGAGCATCAACATGTCCATGCACCAAGTGAGCATCAACATGTACATGCACCAAGTGAGCATCAACATGTACATGCACCAAGTGAGGATCAACATGTACATGCACCAAGTGAGCACCAACATGTACATGCACCAAGTGAGCATCAACATGTACATGCACCAAGTGAGCATCAACATGTCCATGCACCAAGTGAGCATCAACATGTACATGCACCAAGTGAGCATCAACATGTCCATGGACCAAGTGAGCATCAACATGTACATGCACCAAGTGAGCATCAACATGTACATGCACCAAGTGAGCATCAACATGTCCATGCACCAAGTGAGCATCAACATGTACATGCACCAAGTGAGCATCAACATGTACATGCACCAAGTGAGCATCAACATGTACATGCACCAAGTGAGCATCAACATGTCCATGCACCAAGTGAGCATCAACATGTCCATGCACCAAGTGAGCATCAACATGTACATGCACCAAGTGAGCATCAACATGTACATGCACCAAGTGAGCATCAACATGTACATGCACCAAGTGAGCATCAACATGTACATGCACCAAGTGAGCATCAACATGTACATGCACCAAGTGAGCATCAACATGTACATGCACCAAGTGAGCATCAACATGTACATGCACCAAGTGAGCATTAACATGTACATGCACCAAGTGAGCATCAACATGTACATGCACCAAGTGAGCATCAACATGTACATGCACCAAGTGAGCATCAACATGTACATGCACCAAGTGAGCATCAACATGTACATGCACCAAGTGAGCATCAACATGTACATGCACCAAGTGAGCATCAACATGTACATGCACCAAGTGAGCATCAACATGTACATGCACCAAGTGAGCATCAACATGTACATGCACCAAGTGAGCATCAACATGTGCATGCACCAAGTGAGCATCAACATGTACATGCACCAAGTGAGCATCAACATGTACATGCACCAAGTGAGCATCAACATGTACATGCACCAAGTGAGCATCAACATGTACATGCACCAAGTGAGCATCAACATGTACATGCACCAAGTGAGCATCAACATGTCCATGCACCAAGTGAGCATCAACATGTCCATGCACCAAGTGAGCATCAACATGTACATGCACCAAGTGAGCATCAACATGTACATGCACCAAGTGAGCATCAACATGTACATGCACCAAGTGAGCATCAACATGTACATGCACCAAGTGAGCATCAACATGTACATGCACCAAGTGAGCATCAACATGTACATGCACCAAGTGAGCATCAACATGTCCATGCACCAAGTGAGCATCAACATGTACATGCACCAAGTGAGCATCAACATGTACATGCACCAAGTGAGCATCAACATGTACATGCACCAAGTGAGCATCAACATGTACATGCACCAAGTGAGCATCAACATGTACATGCACCAAGTGAGCATCAACATGTACATGCATCAAGTGAGCATCAACATGTACATGCACCAAGTGAGCATCAACATGTACATGCACCAAGTGAGCATCAACATGTCCATGCACCAAGTGAGCATCAACATGTACATGCACCAAGTGAGCATCAACATGTACATGCACCAAGTGAGCATCAACATGTACATGCACCAAGTGAGCATCAACATGTACATGCACCAAGTGAGCATCAACATGTACATGCACCAAGTGAGCATCAACATGTACATGCATCAAGTGAGCATCAACATGTACATGCACCAAGTGAGCATCAACATGTACATGCACCAAGTGAGCATCAACATGTACATGCACCAAGTGAGCATCAACATGTACATGCACCAAGTGAGCATCAACATGTACATGCACCAAGTGAGCATCAACATGTACATGCACCAAGTGAGCATCAACATGTACAGGCACCAAGTGAGCATCAACATGTACATGCACCAAGTGAGCATCAACATGTACATGCACCAAGTGAGCATCAACATGTCCATGCACCAAGTGAGCATCAACATGTCCATGCACCAAGTGAGCATCAACATGTACATGCACCAAGTGAGCATCAACATGTACATGCACCAAGTGAGGATCAACATGTACATGCACCAAGTGAGCACCAACATGTACATGCACCAAGTGAGCATCAACATGTACATGCACCAAGTGAGCATCAACATGTCCATGCACCAAGTGAGCATCAACATGTACATGCACCAAGTGAGCATCAACATGTACATGCACCAAGTGAGCATCAACATGTCCATGCACCAAGTGAGCATCAACATGTCCATGCACCAAGTGAGCATCAACATGTCCATGCACCAAGTGAGCATCAACATGTACATGCACCAAGTGAGCATCAACATGTACATGCACCAAGTGAGCATCAACATGTACATGCACCAAGTGAGCATCAACATGTACATGCACCAAGTGAGCATCAACATGTACATGCACCAAGTGAGCATCAACATGTACATGCACCAAGTGAGCATCAACATGTCCATGCACCAAGTGAGCATCAACATGTCCACGCACCAAGTGAGCATCAACATGTCCATGCACCAAGTGAGCATCAACATGTACATGCACCAAGTGAGCATCAACATGTACATGCACCAAGTGAGCATCAACATGTCCATGCACCAAGTGAGCATCAACATGTCCATGCACCAAGTGAGCATCAACATGTACATGCACCAAGTGAGCATCAACATGTACATGCACCAAGTGAGGATCAACATGTACATGCACCAAGTGAGCACCAACATGTACATGCACCAAGTGAGCATCAACATGTACATGCACCAAGTGAGCATCAACATG